CTTATGATGGAAGATTGTAGAGGACACTTGCAAGTTTTTCCCCCCCACATCGCGACCCCACTTCTTCAACCCTGTCGGAATGGCACGCACTTCAAAAATGGTCCGGGTAAATTTTACTCAGATGTGGTAGTCTAGGGTTAATAAAACTTTACATATAGATAACAAAGAGATGAATTTAGAAAATATCAGTTGCAGCGAAAAAAATGATTTTGAAATCATTTTCTTTATATTAAAGTGATTTCGTAACTTTTTTTCATTATATCTAGAAAACTATTTGAGATATTAAAAAATGTTTTACACAAAAGTTTTACGACAAAATTATACGTATTTATTCACGTCAATAACAATTTTGAAAAATAATTTATTTTTGAAAATTTTTGTAAATAAATTTTTTTTAATGATGCCGTAAGTAAAAAAAGGTGATTTTACTGTAAAACTATAAAATTTTTATATCTTTAGTTTTAGAGATAACGAAAAAAAAATTAATTTACATATGAGGGGTGGTTTCACCCCTTAAAACCGTTTGAGGCACATATTGGTATTTTCTAAATTCATCTATTTAGGTAACCTACATGTGTAAAAAGTTTCGTTAAGATCAGAATTTAACACTTCGCGAGGTTCCCTTGTTAGTTAGATTTTTTAAGTAACTGGTAACTAATTTAATAGTTATTTTTACAGTTACTTTATATATATTAAATTGTCACTTTCATGGATCAAAATTATGCAACACTTTCGCTCGATCACCTAATCGTAATGTTGATTGTAATTATGCGAAATATTTAAATACTCATATTTAAATATGCGCATTAGTTTTCTTTTTTAAATAAAATTATGTAATATGTAAATATAAATCAGTCTTTTTTATAATGCTAATGTTCTATTAAAAGTAACTGAAAAGTAACTAAAAAATAACGATTCGTTATTTTTTAAATAACTAACATGTTACTTTTCAGAGTCGGTAACTTGTAACGGTAACTAGTTACTTTTTGAGAGACAAAAACTGTAACAGTAACTAGTTACTTTTACAAAGTAACTTTCCCAACCCTGTCTATAATCATATATTACCAGAATCCGAATTTTACGGTTTTCCCCATTCCAAGCTGCATGTTGCAATAACAAGAAGCCATAAGAAACAATGCCATTCATCTATTAAAACATAGCTTTATAACATAAAATTATGTTGCGCTAAATCACGACATTATGTCGGCTTGAACGAGGGAAAATGACCCAGACTCATATTACACACACACGTGCATGCAAGCAAGCATTCAGAATAGACTCTTTAATTCAAATTATTCAAAATATAACATTTATTTATTCACATGTATATTACAATAGACAAATTATAAATCTAGATTAATATAAAATATTTCTTCATATAAACATTTTTCTGCGAGTTATTTGCAGCTATTAAGAAATAACTGGCACTGGCAATTCTTCAGAACTTAATTCTTGAATCGAGCCTCCATATGGCATATCGTCTGCATGTTTTTCCTCTGCTGATTTATGATTGGCATTACATTCCAACAAATGATCAGGAAATGTATTTTGTAAAAGCATTAGCTTATCATGTACTAATTTATCTATGGCTTCATCACTTATATCGACAGAAGCAGCTGGACCATAATCTGGCCTTTTTGGTCTTTCCTCTGTAATAAAAATAGAGTAATAAGTAAATATAATTAATTTTTTAACATATTAAAAAAAATTGTGTGTGTGTGTGTGTGTGTGTGTGTGTGTGTGTGTGTGTGTGTGTGTGTGTGTGTGTGTGTGTAATAAAGTTTTATACTTTACGTTTTAATATATCACATGCAACATAGTCAGCAGCTCTAAATAATTTAGCTTTTGTAAGAAGTTCCTGTAATAATTTTAATGTTGGTCTGTTTCTCTCCATAGTACTCCACTCATCCAAAAATATTTGAGCTGCATTGCGTTTGTCTCTTAGTGCCGTTTGCTCAATAATGCTATAATCATGCAATCATTGCAATAATGTAATAATTAAAACATAAGTTGTTATTCTTAATAAAAATCTTAGGGCCCCTGACTACTCAGCCAAGAACTTTGCGTTGACTCGGCCCTTAAAGCCTATCCAGACAAACTTGCGTAACTGCATAATCACATGCATAAAGAAAATTATCCAATATCGTATCTCTATTACGAGAACAAACGTAAAATGGCGATTGGATAATTTTTTGTATGTATATAGTTATGCAGCTATGCAAGTTTGTCTGGATAAACCCTAACTATGAAGCGTTGACAACGAAATTTTGTCTTGCATGCCATTTGGTTATTATGTGCTTAATTATGAAAATATGATTTGTCTCGTACTTACCAAATTCGTAAATAAATTTAAAAACACTTTTTACGGTCACGGCTGGATCTTGTTGCTAATAATAAATTCTATGAATTTTTAAATCTGTTATTCAGCCATCCATTATCTATTATTTAAACTGCGCGCCGAATCAAAATGGGACTTGTAACGCAATCATTAGCTGAAGTTGGAATAGCGAAATCACAATTGATCTTTATTCCTTAATAATTCGATGCGGCTAAGCATTTTAAAATACTGCGAAGACTTATTGCGAAAAATATTACCTCAGCCAAGGTTTGAACCTGGGACCTCCCGACTTTTCGGAGCGGGCGTTTTCGACCACCGAGGCATGTGAAATATTTATCGCAATAACCAGTAGATACCAGTAGATTAAATAAGAATGTATGTTAGAGGTACGTTTTTCGCAGTATTTTAAAATGCTTAGTCGCATCGAATTATTAAGGAATGAAGATCAATTGTAATTTCACTATTCCAACTTCAGCTAATGATTGCGTTGCAAGTCCGACTTTGATTTGGTGCGTAGTTTAAATAGGTCAATAATGGATTTACAAATTCATATAGAATTTATTAGGCACCAAAATACAGCCATGACGATAGAAGGCGCTCTCAAATTTATTCACTTACGCGGTCTAGTTTAAATTAATATTGTTTAAATTCACAAAAATGGAAAGTTAATGTCTGTTATCTTTGAATTTTATACGTAAATTAAAGCATATTTTTTACTCCTTTCAACTGCTATCAAACTATGTATTTCCTACCTGAATAGGTCTTTTACGATTATTTATTATTAGGAGAGGAAAAGGATAATTTCAATTTTTACAAGTGTTTTAAAGTAATCCTATTTTTTTCATTCAAATTTTCTTTTTTTACAAATGGCATGTAAGAAATTATAACGTGTCATTTCTTACTTATGACTCATGATTCCAGTATGGCCGCGGACTAGTCAGGAGCCTAGCTTAAAACAAATATAATACGTTCAATTTCTAAAAATCTTTTAGTAATGCTAACAAGAAAATACACAAGGAAGTGTTCTCATCGATTTTGATGAGTTTTTAATGTTGCATTTTAAATTAAAATAAGACACACATTTTTTTTATTAGTGCATGTTTAGGACTAAAACAGCCCTTTAAAAAAATTGCATATTTCCTTCGAGACAACTAATATCGAAATTATATTGTATAAGCGAATTTTCTACAAACAAATGGATTTCATATTACTTGGTACACAGATCAAACGTCATGTACTACGTCATATCTAGCAAATATTTTATTTGTGAGATATTACCAAAGAAGAAACAAATGTCAGCGGAACAATAATACTAAAACCGGAACTTACTCTTCAATTAAGTTGATCTTCAATATAAACCAAATTTGAAAAACATTTTGAAATCAAATTAAAAACGCTAATTAATTATTAACGCTTATGCGTTGTAAGTATGGTGCCATGTTTAATATTTGATAAACAACAAATTAAATGATCCCGTGAATGTTGTAAGCACCAAAAGCGTGATTACGGAACGCAACCTGTAACTTTTATTAATCAAAAAATACTTAATGAAAAATAATTTCATAATGTTTTGAAAAGCTCTCAATGTCATCTACAAGAATATGTGACGAAAAATAGGAGTTTCTATTTATGATTTTTATGTTGACCTTAACCGCGCTTTCAAGGTCAATCAAAGCTCAAATAAATATGACCAGTTAATAGATTTTCAAGCTGTCTTCAATATGTTCAATAGACCTGTTCAATTGACTGCTAATTTGTATTTTGACCAACAAATTGTATTATTGTGTAACAAATGCTGATATTTTTACAATAATAAAATTATTTGATGTCTATCGTCAATGCGTTTAACAGATCTGCTCGTTTTTAATCGCTATTCTGTCACATATTTTGCTGATAGATTGGTGCATATTTACTAAAAGTGTGCTAACAGTACGACAAAACAAAGCATATTTCGCACGCATATGCGGCTTTTCGGCAAACATAATCTGTTGCTAACATTTGCAAATGTAGAAAATGTTATAGGGAATATTATTCAAAGATGAAGTAACATTTTGCACCAAGTTTTGCGCACGTACAGTGAAGTTTGCGTAGAACGACAGTAAAATCACTGATCTGTAAACATGGAATGTTAATTAACGTTACCAAAGCAATTTCCAGTTGAACGTCCGCCATTTTACAATTATTGTCCAAGATAATATATGTAGACGTCTAATGGAGATTTTCAATTTCCATAATAGATGTTTAATAAACGTCTATTAAAGATTTTTTTGTTTTATATGTGTAGGTTTTTTTCAGTACTAGTGATGAATTTCGAAACGCAATTTATATATTTTTGTTAACACATATTATATATTTATGTCAATACATTCGATTATTATATAAATGTTTGTATGTGATAAAAAATTCTATGATCATACAAAATGTATTTATCCTCATCGTTATTTCCTATTACGAGAAAATGTAAATAGAATATAATACATTAAGAAAATAAAGAACAAAGAGACAAGCTAGATATCATTAGCTACAATTACTATATATTTCAAAAATCCAGACGTTTCGGCTTATACTAATTGTAAGCCCACCTTCAGTGGACATACATAATTAGTACATTAAACCATAACTAACAATTACATCATATTTACGAAATTCGTTGTCTGTTTCCTAATATTGCGTCAAACGTCACGCCATGTGGTCCATTGGATGCAATTAAGAGAGTACAATTGTGCGTAGCAATGTTTATGGTTAATACATGTCAGTGTTGTAAAAGAACACTCCACAGTCCGCAGATGCAAGTGAGAATTCAAATTAATAAAATCGGTTAGGTCAAATTCTGACCAATGAGAAAAGGCAATGGATAGTCAAGGATGTATGCATAATTAAAAGAAAAGAATGTTAAAGGTATAAAAAGAAATAAATACAAGAATAGAAGATATGAAATTGTAAAAAGAAATAATTATGAAGGAATGTGAGAATTACTCAATAAAAAATATCTCTGATGCCATTATGACGAAGGTCGATAATAATCCAGTATCTGTTCAAATGATTAGATAAAGACATATTCAGTAACGTTCTATATTCCGTAAGACGAATGGGGGAAAAAAGAAATAGACGTGGATAAACGGAGAAGAGGAAAACAAAAGGAAGTGGGAAAGAAACGTTAGTATTAGATAGGTAGCAACAAGTTGATGACAATAGGATAACAGGATTCTGAGAGGGATTCAGCATCACTTTGTTTAGATCATGCTTCTGTTTTGTGATATGAATCATTTCAGATGTTAGCCTTTTATAATAATTATCCTTCTTATCTATAATCTTAACATTCTCCCAATCAATTGCATGATTTTCTTGTAATCTATGGTTGGAATGACAGATAAAGCACCACTTTTTTTCTTGATATCAGAGCAATGCTCATGCATTCTGATTTTTAGCTGTCGCTTTGTCTGACTGACATTGTTGCGTCGCAATCTTTGAATGCAATTTTGTAATCAATATTGTTTTGTGATAAAGATTCTAACATATCTTTCCTTGTTTTTATGAAGCTTTTTAATGTATTCGGAATCGAAAATTCCGTTTTAATCTTGCATCTTTCTGCAATACTAAGAAACTTTTCAGATATACTACTGACATAAGAAAAAATGAACATCTTTTAAAGCAATCTTTTACCAGAAGGTCTTGTTTCTTACTAAAAAGATATTTTAATCTAGATCTGATAGTAGTAAAAATAAATAACGGATAACAATTATTTAATTTTTATAATACCAATAAGATTCTTTTCATGAAAACAAGGATTGGAAAGAAGAATTATTTTGTCTATTAAACCAAGAATGATGCCTTTTTTTTATGGCTAAGAGGATGGTGCGAAAGAAAATTAATGAATCTGCCAGAGAAGGAACTCTTCCTAAATAAATCAAATTTAATTATATTATATTATTGGAAACAATGATAGTGACTTCCAAAAAATTTAATGTGTTCACTCTCACCCACTTTCTATAGCGAACTGCAGACGTTCATGAAAAGAATTAAAAACTTCTAGTGTTGTCTCCAGCATATTAGAAGGAGTTGCCAAAATGTCATCCACATATCAAACATTAAAAGATAATTGCAATAATTTAACAGCTTTACTAGCTTTCAATATTCTGGAGAATTAAATCAGCTGTAGGAGATAACGACGAGCCCATGGGTGTGCCAAAAATCTGTCTGTAATAAACATTACTGAATACAAAAAACGTGGAATTCAAAACAAGTTTAACTGTCATGATGAATTCATCATGTAGAATTAATGTACTTTTGGAAATTAGATTCCTCCATCTGTTTGAAATGCATTTAATAGCCATGTCTGTGGGAACATTTATAAATAATGGTATCACATCTAAGGATGTCAATTTGTATCCCTGATCCAAGCAGAAACCATCAAGTTTTTCAACTAAATGGAAGCTGCTGGTTATATGGCTAAAGACAGGTGGAATGCTGTTTTTTATAATATATAAAAAATTAGAAAGATTATATAAAAAACTATTGATAGATAAAATTATTATACGTAACAAGAAACCGATTTGTGGCTCTTGCGCAACCCATAGGTTCTCGGGATAGTTCCATCACTATATAACTAACTCTTATATGTTTTCTTATCTATGTATTTT